CCTTGCGCTTGCCAGGCAGGCGCTTTTGCCGCTGAGCTAAATCCCCAGCCCCTGAATTTCCATATTGCTTGAGTTGTTCCTGTGTTATTTTGTAAATGTGTTTGTTAATGTTTTCATTTTTATTTTTTTTAATAAAATAAAAAAATATACAAAATAAAAAGCTGAAATCTTTCTCAAAACAAAAACATTCTGTAATTTTACTTAAAATTAAATATTTTATATTTGGCAGAAAAGTTTATTTTATTTTATTTATTTATTTGGTATCAGGAATTGAACTCAGGACCTTGTGCTTGCTAGGCAGGTGCTTGTGCCATTGAGCTATATCCCCAGCCTGGTGAAAAATTTTGAATCTCAACTTTTTCTACGTTATAACATGCCAATAATTACTTAAGTATGCACTGTGAAATTTAAAAATTCATAAACAATACTTTCAAATGTATATAAAATGTTAAGTTATGAAATAAAACATACTTTACCTTAGATATAGGTTCTTGTTCCTTAGTGGGAGCTTCATTTTTTAATCTTGAAAACAAAATAAGTATTGATTATTTTACTTTGTACTTACATGATAAAATATGAACTGGGTTTTCTGTGCTTAAAATAACTAAAATGTAAACTTAATGTCCATTTTATCCTATAACAGTGAATGAGCTCTGTACATATTTCATATAAAAATAAAATACATGAGAATAAACAGATTTAGAAATTGATAAATAAATGAACACAAGTACTATATTTTTTCTCTAAAAACAAGAATATTTAAGAAACATTCTTTTTGCTAGATACAATTTAAAATAAAGGACACAATGCATTAGTAAAAATTATTCTTAAAAAAAGCAGGTCTGATCCCCACATCACAATAAATCCAACTTATTAATTAAAAATTAAAGCAGGTAATATGCATATACATATACACATACACTTGCAAACACGCACAATATGCATTAGTATGTACTATTATAAAATATAAAAAGTGAGGGAATATAAGTATTTTATCTATTGTGAAATTCAATGATAACGGCACTTCAATATATACATTAACTTTCTCTGGAGGCAGTAAGTCACAGAAATCATTTAGAATTTTTAAGAATATATTCTCTTAAAAACTTTTATAAGCACTGCTCAAAAATTAACTATAAAATTTTTAAACCTGACTCCTTAAATATTAATTATAATATTACAATGGCAACAAAGAAAACTAAACAATCTTGTAAAATAACCAACTTAATATAAAAACTAGCTTCTCCAAAAGATTTTTTAGAAACTGCTGATGACTAAATTAGATTTATTTAAATCCCTCACATCTGACACACACAAAATTATTTGTTGATATTACACTCATTTTCAATATACATAGCAGGGTGATCTACTTGGCCTGAAATGCCATTGATCAAGAATTCAACGATTCATAACTCTATAAAGGCTCAATACAAATGTAAGGAATAATTCATTTAATATAAGGAACTACATTCACTTAAATTTTATATTTAAAAAAAGTGAAGGTGTCTAATAGGACTGAAATGTCAACCATTTAAAAACTACTATCATGGTTAGTCAAAAACAGAATTAGCAAATGCCTTCCTTCTTTATCCATTCTCTGAAGGCACATTTTAAAAATTAGTACTATCATTGCTGGGTTCAATCCCCAGGACCACCAAAAAAAGAAAAAAAAATTAAGGCTACAAATGTTAATGCATTACTAAATATTAACAATAATTAATTGTAAAGTTACTTATTTATATTTTATGTATACAAAATTAGCAACAACTTTTAAAAGATTGTGGTCTTTTTTTGTAGAATCATAGTATTGGTAGTATATTGTAATAATTTACAATTAATTTGTCAAACAAGTTAAATAAAACAAAAAATGTACAAATGTCAGTAATTTTTTGGATCCACATTTTGTAAAGTATTTAAATGTGAAGAATATTTATAAAGGTGAGATTACATCAAATATAAAGTATAACTGCATTGCATTAATGATGTATATAGGAAAGTTTTAAATATAACATATAAATATGAAAACATGAAAAATTAGTCTAAAACAAAGTAGAAGTATTACTGTTCTATAATAAACTTTTCTACTTCAACTGATTAAATTGTTTGAAAAGTAGAAATAAACTGATCAAAAAGCACTTCTGAGATATTTTATGAAAGTATTTTTCAGTTTACTGTTGAAAACATTATCAAAGACCTTGTATTTTTACAAAAGAAATATTACCACTCTAATCATTTTCATGTATGTCTATAAATCAATTTTATGCAACAATTAAAATGCAGTCCATTAAACAAGTTTAACTATTATTGCTAGCGCTTCAGTTGGGGAAAACTAGTCCTCTTAGCCTCTCTTCAGACGAGGCTGGTGACAGAGTTTCATTATTCTTCACTGTACTGGCTAGGGAAGTGGTAGATGAGGACACAGTGAGTTACTAAAATCAGCATCAAGAGGCCTATAAGCTTGATCTTTTACTGTACTAAAATTCCCCTTAAGGGTAAAATTGTAATAAATAGCAAAAACAACTCTACAGTTAATCAGAAATATGTAGTACAATAACCACTAAAATTTTGTAACTATAAATGCGTATTTAAAAATTAACCTTAGTGTGACTACAAATATATTAACTTTTGCCAAAGAAAACAATCTCATACCTCAGTTCTTCTTCATTAAAGTTACCTGCTGAAGTGGTCATCATTTGAGATATTGAACTTTTGGAGAAGACAGTCAAATTTGCTAAGCTCAAAGTTCTGTGCTAATGACCTGTCACTGTGAAATTTTTTTTTAACTTTTGATGTCACTTGTGAATATTGCAGTAATTCTTTTATAGAAAAATACACTGCAGTACTTAGAACATTGAGATTTCAATAGAAAGACAACAGAAGCACTTACTAGTGATCAATTTCAATGTTTTTAATGAGACTGCAGGTAATTTTTTCCTATGGAAACCTGATCTTTGATGTATTTGTAAGGCATAATCCTTTTCTTCTAAAGTCTAAAATGAAATATATGGCCCTATTTGCATTTTTCTATAGGTAAAATGACTAACATGTGGCTACACACACAGTGAATATCCTGATTCAGTTATGGTACTATGCTCTTTTGAGGTTTCATTGACAGAATAAACATACCATGGGTTGAGGGAAAGGCTGTAAAGGAAAACTATTCAGGTTCATTTCAGTTAGGTCAAATTCTTTGCTTCCGATAACATTTAAAAGCCAACCACATTAATCCTACCATTAGAAATATAATCTTCAATTTAAGATTATTTGTAAACATACTGAAAAGGCTAAGAAGATCATACAAGAAACCAGTAGTAAAGTCAGCCAGTTCTCAAGGCCTTCCTCCTAGACACTCAGGACTAAATTTAAGATAGTAATCATTAGACTCAGAAGTAACAGTAGAATACCTAGCACATCATTCCTGATCATTCCCCCCAAAGAGTGTTAATAGGCTTATCTGGAGAAGGTGTTCAAACTAAACATTTACCATGTTAAACATACCTAAGTGTTCTAGTCCAAAAATAAAGTCTCTTGCAAAGAAAACAGCAGATGTTTACAGAATTTGGTAAAGGACTGAGCCAATATAAAAGGGAAAGAGATAAGTAAGCAGCAGAGACAGCACCATGAACTTGGATGTGCAGGAAAATAAGAGGTGTTAGCAAAGGGGAGGTGATCCAAGACAGAGCAGAAGCAAACATAAAACAAGATGGCACTGAGATGAGACCACAGCCTCTACAGTTCCTGTCAGTTAAATGCAGGGCACACAGGAAAACAGCTGAAGACAAAACTGAAGAGCTAGCAAAGGCACCTTCACAGGTCACAGCTATGATAAAGTGTTCACACTACAAACAGTAAAGCCAGTAGGAAAATGGGATCAGATTTGTGCATCAGAAATAGACAGGTTTCAGTCAGGGAGTCCAGTTAACATAGCTTGCAACTTTCTCACCTCCAACAGTAGCAGTGTCAATGGAGGAAAGAAGATTTAAGGAAATGTAAGTTAAAACCAACAGAATTTCAGAATAAAGTTACACAGAACAAACATAACATACCCCCAATATCTGGCAAGAAACACGGTAATGTCATTAATCAAGAGAAGGAATTCAAGGGGAAAGGGAGCATATTTTGCAGGAAAAACTAATTTAGTTTTGGACATACTGAATTTGTAATACACAGCAATCATATGGTCATATTTATCGTACAGATCTGTTCGTTCTGTGTATGTCACTCTTAAGCACAACTATAAACATCACTTCTACTCAGACTATGACTGCCCAAGTAATCCTGATAAACAATTTTATGCTATTCTTTGCTGAAATCTTACTGTCTTTACATCACATGAAGACCGCCCTATGATTGGGAAGCTGTACTACTGCCCCTGTGCTGAGTGTGTCAGTTCCTGCCTGCCCCTCTCTAGCAGGAGGGCCTTCACAGGAAAGTCCTGTCCCACAAAGTAGGAAGTACAACCCTCAGTAGTTCAGGCTCTGAAGGCAGACGACCAGAATTTAAATTGATATTACTCATTTAACAGTTATGTGACAGTAGGCAAGGTATCTAATTCATCTATACTTCCGATCTCTAAAGGACAATAATAGCACTTGTCTCATAGATTTGTGAAAATTAAATGAGCAAATAAATGCAAAATATGTAGGAGAGTGTCTGGCACATTGTACGTGAACAATAAATGGTACCTATTATTATTGGCGTGGGTAGCATCTGGAATCAATTTTCCTACCCAGAATTTGCTTGAAAACGCACAACACAGGCTAACTTATGACTTGAATATCCCCACAGCTTTGCGTCTTCTTTTACACTTCTACCTTTCCTTCAAATCCAATATATTAACTAGATACTAATTTCTGATTACTTGTCTACTCCCCTTAGGACTAGCCTTATTTGCTCTGGTAAGAAAACATGATGCATTTCTGAAAACCTGGGTTTGATCTGTTCATCTAAAGTAAGGGAAAAGAGCAGAAAAATCATTCTGTATCGATAGAACTAGGTAAAAACAGAACAAGAAATAAAAAAGACAAAATATGTGTAATCAAAATTGTAAAAGAAAAAGAACGTATGCAGAACTAACGTAGGAAAAGGGGTCTATATTATCTTGTTGGCAATACTAAGTAACACTCTAGATAGTTCACTTATAACTTATAAATGACCCCAAGACCAGACTGGAAAAGTGGCACTAACCTCAAGATCACTGGTAGAGGTTAGTACTCTATAAGTGTACTTATTGCTTACATCAGTCCATACTAAATGACAGTCTGTGGAAAGTTTCATTTACCTTTCCTTCTTCCCTGCTTACAGATGTCAAAGACACCAACCCTAACCTGCCAGAAACTACATTTTCATGACAGCTCTTACCTACTGACTTGCAATTTCACATCCATGCAAAAGCATTACAACTACCTCTAAAAAGAAAAATTATTTTACAGTCCCTAGTTATATTTTTGAAATATTAATAATCCTGAATCTAGAGGAAAGATCTGAGTACCTCTAATTCCAGCCAAATTTCAAAAGATTAG